TGAAACATTTGTCGTGTTACAATGTCTGCCTACCATTGATGGCAACGACCTAGACTGCGGACCGCTTACCACCTACTGACCTGCTTGCTTCTAGTCCTTAGCCAAAAAGAAGATAACTTTTATTTTACAGCAGGCGCAGGGCTAGTCGTGTAATGCAGCTGCCACATTATGGCCTGATTCCTGAATGTGTCGGTTGGGCTTCGATCGCACACGGAGTCTTCAAACGTATGAGACCAAAGCTGTACTTCCCAGTTGTTCTCTGCTTTTCTACGAGTCCCTATCATAGCATATAACTCTACGATAAGATCTAACTGCCCGTTCATTCATCATTTGCGCATTGTCTTATTGATCAACAAGACAGACGACCTTCGCTATGTACATATTAAATTGCGTGTGTGCACCACTTAGGAGGAGCAGTGAGGCGGAAAAATAAGTTTTAGAATAACGGATGAAGAACACTGGCTTGAAAACAGCAAGCGAAAGCGCAAAGTTTTATACGGGGGGACGGTGTGTGGTTGTATGATAGCTGAGAAAGTGGCTACCTTTTGTAGGTTCAGTGGCCACTTGCTTTGGCCTACGAGAGATGAACGTTCAAAACCATTTTTTCACTCATTACAGAAATTCTTAATCCTTGTGCTTTTCGATACATGACGGAGTCAGTTTAAATACAAACGGTGTGTCGATCGTGAGCGGTATATAATAATGTTCAGTAAATCAGACAGCTTTTAAGATACCCTTTACCGTCCAAATCCACATGGTAACGTTAGTTTTTATACATTATAATAAAGCCGCATTATAAGCCGCATGTACACCTTGAGGCAAGGACTGTCACAAAGCACAACACCTTAGGTCAGCATTAACTACTTAAAAATTAAATACTTTAAAGAAATGTGATGGTCTTCCCAATGAAATGAGTTCCGTAAGACGGCAATGAATGCAAATCCTGTTCACCTGGGTTAATTTACCGTACCTCTGCGTGGTATAGGACACAACCGGGTCAATGAGTCGATATGCCAGTTTGTCCGACAGGTGAAAAAGACTGGGATGTACATTTAACCTAGCTTGCAAATGTAGTCTGCTACAAAGTGTACTTCTGATTACACGGAACGTAGGCGTATACAGTGTTCCTCCTGGAATTACTCGATTAGAGAGATCTAAGAGCCCCTTTTGAAGCCAAACTAATATTTTGCCGCTTATCTAATAAGCATTCATAGGTCTTATGAGACACGTATAGTTTGCGCAGAGAATGCTTGAATGAAAACCTTTCTGAGTTGAGAGCACTTTGTGACAGGCCTGGTGCGCTAAGCGGTTGACTTTAAGCGGAAAGAGAAAGTTAGGCTGTTCCTGCACCTTTGTGCTGGCTCTCAATCGCTGTGGCTTTTCCAGCTCATTTATACACAAGTTCTTTGAATGGCTAGCCGTTGTAGCTTCGTGAAAGATTTGAAAACGCCGATAAAACGAATAAGATCCGATATTTATCAAGCAGTGAATCTGTTAGTACAGGCAGTACGGTAATTATAAATAGCAATTTCCTGCATCCCTCGGCAAATGAACGCTGTTAAAGATACTCGCGACACAGAATTGCGTCGCGTCGCAAAAAAGAAATGCATAGTTCAATGTGGAAATACAACAAAACATAACTGCGAATGAAAAAGGAGCGTGATGTGTTATTAGGTAGGTCGTTTGGTGTGTGTAACTAAGCATAAACAGGTGTTCGTTCGAGCGATATGGGTTTTCTCATACGGGAGCAAAATTAACCAATCGGAAATAATAACCTTCAGGTGGAACGCCTATAATTTTTTTCGTTTGTTTGCCTAAGTCAGCGTGCTGCCATCTCCGCCCGATTTGGGAGTGGATCACCGGCATCACCTCGAATATTTCTATACATATATCTAAGCATGTATCTATGCGCACACGACCTAGACTTATCGCTCTGTGTTTGTCATTTGAACGGAGATTGACTATTGAGGCATCACTCGGCCAAAAGCATTGCATTGCGTCCGTATATTGGCTGTTGGCGAAAATTCTATTCAAGGAAGAGGCTGCCAACCGGTATTCGGCCATGTTCCGAAGTGAGAATATATTTATATTAGAATATAATATTAGCGAGCAAAGATATAGCTGTTAAGCTAATGCATACAATGAGTGATAAGATTTTTGTTTCGATATGCTGTAACGTGTAAATCTACCTGAACAAAACCTAACACCAGTATCATTATAGTATACAAAAAAATTCATAACATGTACCATCTCTGTAACCTGTTAACATTGCTTGCTCGGTAAAAACATGTACCGGTAAAATAGTATAGCACAAGTACCCTTACTGATGGCAAGTTAATAATACTGCAAGTACGACATCGAAACAAATATATCAGCAATGCCGTCTGAAACAATGTATAGTGGCAGTACTGAGCGCGAAATTCAAAAATATATTTCAGTTCAATAACAACAGGTATAATAACCCGGGCACAGACAAACTTCATTTTGTGCTGGGAGCCGACCGTCTGTCTGGTGGAATGCCCTACGCCGGTACCGGAGGTAAAATATAGAGGTATAATGATTAAGGAATTCGACAGTACGGTGGCTATGCACAACCAGTCTTCCGACAACAACCGAAGGATTCAGACAGATGAAAACGTCTCAATTTCAATCTTAGGTTTGAGCTTTTGTTTCACCGAGATCAAACGCTCTGGGCCTCTGCCAGCTGTATTGGAGAAAGCAGCCAAAATGAAGACGTAAACTAAATGCAATGTTTACACCATTCCAAAATGCCTGCAGTGATAGCATCGAAGTTTTTCCATCCTTAACTATTGCTAAGAGCTATTGCTTCTACGGAACAAACACATTTTGAGTTATGGGCAACGCATGAAGCAACGCGGAGTCACAGTAGCAGACTTAAAGCTCGGAGCATTTATTTAGACTCAGACCTTGAAACGTACCGATGACATGTGCCCTAGAACTAGCCTGGAAAAATATGGAAAAACACACATATACATGGAAAAATGAGGGAAAAAATATTAGGCCATAGCGAAACGAATCACTCAAATTCCGCTTCCACTTTCCCTTACCGAAACATATTCAACGAGTACCTACAATTACTTTATGAAGCACTCAAGGTCCGAGAACAGTGTCGGGGGGCTAGTGGCTCCGTCTCTAGCGGTCGGATTGAATTGGTGTAGAGTGGGCTGTATGTGATTTTCCCGCTGGTATCGCTATCCAGCACTCGCGACCGAGTGGAATCCAGAAAAAAAGTTGGTATGAACTGTGTCGGAACTGTGTTTGGAAGCCTCTGAACGCCATATCGAAAAGGAAACGAACAGGAAAGTATCAGTAAACGAACGCATACCAGGGAATAATGAACTGTCTTTGACGTTTCTCCTTTACCTGAATTCACTACAGTTTTTGCCGTCATGGCAGGACACGGCGGAGAGCTTGCACTTGCTTCCTGATGGAAACCCGTGAATACACCACGAACTGATCCTTCTCATCTTCTATTTTTACCCTTGCCTTCGACAATATCTGTGCTGAATTTATGGCATTTGTTACAGCTGTAGTAATAGCACCAGCGAAAAGGCCCATTAAGGCGAAACAGGCACTCAACTGGCGGGTACACGCGACATGGAGGACATTGAAGTAGATAGAAATCTAGCCTCAGCCGTTGTTTAGTTGTGGGTGAAGCTATGCGGCACGTAGTGGCGCTGGCGGTCGCTGTGCAGTTTCAGTCATCCTTTGCATTCGAATTGCTAGTCTGCGATCTAGCTTGTAATTTGCTTTGTAACGCCCCTAGGTTTTCCTAAAAGTGAAGAAGAAGGAGAAGCTAAGAGCGCGTGAGATGTCCGGTCTATAGATGAACAGATGTGCCTGTGAACTGCTGCAGTCGTTCATAAGACGTCGACCGCACCTAACCGTTTCAGCCGGAAACGCTATCCGGCCAAAGGTCATGAAAACCTTTCAGCCTCGCCAGAGGAAGTGCATATAAGCAGCTTATGAATTTCACGCCAATTCTCAAGGTCGGCCTATAGTTGTTACAATGCTGGATTAACCAACAGCATATATAGTGAGTACTGCATATGTAATATATTAAGTACGTGTGATAACGTAGCAGTAAGGATGCTTGTCATGGTAACTTCCTCTATATTATAAACACAACATTCAATATCGTAATAATAGAAACATATTCGATCTTCGAATTGGGCAATCGTCATACTAAAGCGGTCATACTTCGTTAATAGAGAGATAGGACCTGCGGCCCCGGCGATCATTATTATGTAGATTCATAATAGAAGGTCATTGTGATGCATAGCGGTGTACGATCGTAATTAAAAAGTTATAGCATTCTGAAGGATCAGAGAGGCTTACCGTGTTACAATGAGAAATAACCTCAGTGGGGTCGCCTAGTTACTACTACTATATTAAGCACGACAGTCTAATTATCTGTGGTAAGTACGGATCTGTTCAACTCGCGACGCAGATATAAAAGCATAGTAAATATTAATGCGATTCGACATCAGCAAAGATTGTGATATAGAAACATCTTGCAATGTACTAGTTGGATAACATTTATTATTTAGCAAAAAAAAAAGACTTTTTTTTTTGTCGTTGAGACGAGTGGCTGTACTGGATCTTTCTAGCTAGTTGGCTCCTTTGTCAAAAAAGAAAAACTGGCATCGGGAAATCGTCGAGATTATTTCTGATACATCCAGGTTACTACTGAATAATCCCTTCGCAATAAACATATGGGAGACAAGATAAAAATCGATATCCCATATGCTTTTCAGGAAACACACTACAGCTTCTCAATGTTCGCAATCCTTGCGTTTATTTTAATGAGGCCCTTTCAGCGGAAGCATTGAAAACAAATTCCGTGAAAATACTGTATGTTATATAGCAGTGCTACGAATATCGTAGTAATAGTTTATGAAGTACTCTTTCACCGTTTGCGATTGTGAGCTACGGGATCCTTATATGTACGTATGCGTACGATTTGTTGGCTATTACAGAGAATTTCGATCGCTGGTCATAGAGATGGTGCTGGCGACGGATATGACGTCGCATTTCCAGCAGGTGAAAACAATGAAAACTGCATTGGGCCACCATGATTTTAGTCTTGACAAACCTAAGTCTCTTTGTCTCATACTGCACGCCTGCGACATCTCTCACCCATCGAAAGACTGGGAACTTCATACTTCGTAAGTATTGCATTCTATTTGATTCATAATGTGTGATACACTCCCAGAGATGATAACAACTATAAAAGATTAAGTAAACATATGCTGAAAAAAAGTATATCTGTGTTACATTAAGTTGTGTGCATGTGCCGGAGAACAGGCCCAGATATGAACAGATGCGGTGCGAAGCGCCCCCAAAGCGAAAGGTTTATCCTATTAGCTGTCCTATTAGTTAATTCACCGAAATTAATTATTTTTATGAGCATCAAGTACATTCACTGTACAGCCTATTACATTGTAGCTATATACTGCCGCGGATATAGCCTTGATTCATTTTAGGGGATAAATCAGCTTTTCTAGATTTTTCCTACCACAAAGCATATAAATCGTACGGTAACGTAAATCAAACAGATATATCTGGTCAGATATAAATAGTACCATTAAAACAGAAGCGGCCCATTTGCTCTGATATGATAATACTGCCCAGTTGGGTTACGGTGACGAACCATTGAATTTCTCGCAAAGAAATCATTGCCAGCAATTTTGCAGGCGGTGCTTCTCGGCGGCCGAGATGTGAATGGGAGATTTTTTGGTACTGACAAGCTTGCGTCTTGCCAGCTCTTATTTGCCTAGTTTGAAGCTCGAAAACGAACGTCGTCATTTCTAATTCTGCCTATCTGTTTAACAGGCCTCGCATACACTAGCCCTAATTCCCTGCTCCATTGAGACCCGTTTCCTTCGCTAACCTTCAACTATAATGATATGGACAGAAAAGCTTACCTAGCGTTTTGTAGGCCATCGATTGCTCTTCCAGCAGGCGGTGAAGCAGGGGCTGGCTTCATCTTTTTTAAGGCAGATGTTGAAATGGGAATGGTGGCGACGCTTGCGAACCATTGCCGCTCGCATTTTAATGTTGTGGCCTCTACACATATCTAATTAGGCATCTGTTTACAATGCATGTCACCATTACGTGGAGTAGAGATTAATAAAAACGTCATGTTTTAATCTCCGTTTTATAAGGTATCAGCCATCTTTGTGTTTATGATTCATTCCATCCCACTGTAACGCAAACGTGTTGAAAGCTATACGCAGCAATAGAATCGGCAAAACTGCAGAAAAAATCTTAAATAAGCTGAATATTTCATTGAGAGAAATGTCTGATGCCAACAGTATTGTTAACTTTTGTTACTAATGGTTACCTATCGTACTATCATAAAGGATTTGGAGAAAAAAATTTATAAACAATTCTCGATTAAGAGTATAATAAGGCCAAGATTCCGCGGCGTGATAACACTCATTTCACAGTGACTTATTATAATTGGTTAGGTACGAACAAAAAAAAAAAGAAAAAGACCTGCTAAATTGTGGGTTTCGAGGGTTTGAACCGCTCATATTGCCATAGATACCGCGCGCACTTATAAACTGCCTAATCAACTACTTGTCCATTAAGAAGTTTTAGAGGTAAAAACGTTTACTTTGAAAATGCTTTTCGTATTTATTATCTGTCTATTGTTACCAAACACTTAAATTACGCTGGTCGTAATTGTTGTCACAATGCGTGACGTTTGTGGCAGGTGTACTTTGTATTTGTGCTAGAGAGTTTTTATTTCTGGTGTCGATGTGTTGATCTGTCTCTGATTTGATTTTTTTGCCTAGATCGACGTTTTGACTCTGAGCGTTAGCTAGTCAAATATTGAATCAGACGTATCATTTTCACTGCAGTTAAATTCTAAGCACAGCTCAGTCACGAGTGGTTTGTAGTTTCGTTACAAACAGCTGAGCCACAGATGACATAGTAAGTTAGAGGAATGAAAATAAAACAACAATTGGAATTTTTATATCGTAACAACGCGCTGCACTGATATTTTTTTTTAATCACTGCAACACAACAATAGTTTCACATCTAGAATGGCCATATCAGCCAGTTTTTATTCAAAGTAGTTTTAATACAGACTATTTGTTACAACGTAATAAAGGCACTGCTCGGTGCGGCTTTAGCTTTGTCGTGTAGAAGAGCGGATTCGTCTCTTCTTCCGAATGATCGGGCCTTTTCTATCTGTGTACCTACCGATTCGGGTGAAGCCCCGTCGGGGTCAAATGGTTCACTAAGCTTCTGTCTCATGTCTATGCCCTGTGCCGCTGGTATAAAGAAACGGCTTTGTGTTTATGGTGACAGCGACGTAAAACAGAATACGACGGAAACAGGAAGACACGAAAGATAAAGAGGTGAATACGCATATATATATATATATATATATATATATATATATATACTGATACGCGCGTCACTGAGCGAGCGATGCCCTCGTACCATTTTAGCCCATTGTAATTGTAAGCGAACGTGAAACAACGGGTCTAATCACTAGCAATTTTCAAGAAAAGAGAAGCAAGATAGTGACCAGAAAGCGTCATCGTCGCTGGACAAAATTTTGCTAGTTTATACTAAGTAATGTATGATGAAAGCTTAGTATTTAATTAGATACGCACCTGTCGACTTTTCGATACATCTAGCTTACCATACCAGTCCCATCAGAAATCGCCAAGTCACGAAAATAATGGTGATAAGATGATAAGGAACTGCGGCCCAGCGTGAAGTCGGGTCAGATTGACTACATACATAGCTTTCTGAGAAACAGGAGCTCACTAAAATCTGGTTCAAAAATGCCACGGGCTAATTGACCGAAGGCAATAGGAGGACACTATTCGTTGCGGGGGGCCTGCGCAAATAGCCTTCTAAAAAGCATGCGCTAAAAAGAAACTCTCCCTCGTTAGAAACGTGAGGCCTACCAGGCTAACACATCGATTCCTAAGTAACGAAAAGAAGAATGATGAAAGGAAGGCGAGAGAGAGAGACAACAAAAACGAAAAAGATCAAAGCACTTTCTCTGTCTATTACCAGCATGGTATCCTCGTCTTTGATGCCGTTATTCATTTAGCAGGCAGCACAAAATCGAGCGCTTACCAGATAGACGATTGTAAGCAACGGTGAGTCCACGTAAGGACGCTAACTAGGATAGCACAGCCAGTCTATATTACCTAACTTCTGAAGATTCTAGCGGCGACAAAACGCCTCCCCTGAGTAGTCGCTTATCTTGTTGAGCATAAATTCCGTGCCGAGTAAATCGCTGCTCTAATGCAATCTATGAAATGTAACCGAATGCATATTCTGTATATTGCAACATTCTACAAACCTCTATGGCGGCTTTCTCGGGTCTGTACATGCACAGATGCCCAATATTCATGAAAAAAAGGTTCACATTCTATTCCTGACGTATTCAAAATTAACCAACAGATATAATTCAAATGGAGCTCCGAGCTGATTCCGTAGATTTGAAGTTGATACGCGGATTTTGCGAGTACGTATGTCAACAACCTGTGCGATGGAAGCCTAATAAATGCTTTTCTTGCAATCTGCCAAGTTCGTTTTTAGTTAAAGGCATTATTACCGGGATATAGCATAACATATTTGGACTCGAGGTATCTCCATCTTTCCTAATACGCGGCCATTACATTCTAATAGGTTGTTACTTATTATGATGCCATGGTACGAAACCGGATTTTTCAAAATGCCTACACAGGCGATATACAAGTTTGATTTTAGTCCACTCTACTTATAGAAATCTACTAGCACCAACTTCCAAAATAGGACTATTACATTGTGCAATGCATATAGTCTTCATTGATTCGACAGACTTACAAACGACACTAGGCTGAATGTACCTTTTAATACAGGAGTCAAATATGTGTTGAATGCCGGATCCAGTTAAGGCGAAATGATAAAAAAAACATAAACAAATAGTTGCATCGATGCCTCATTTTAAAATTTCGGACGGATTGTAGAAAAGTTCCGAGACAAGTTAGGCACAGTCCAATAGATATAGAAACTTTTTTATTCCTTGAGTTGATACCTCAACCGGTCCTAATAATAATAATAATAGCGTTTAGAAAGCCGTGATAAGGGTCGCTCAAATTAATATCGTAATTACACACAGAAAAACTTCGCCTCCATGACATGACCGGTGTTTTAGTTCTGTTTCAATTTTATTATAGCGCGAACTGACCGTAATAATTAAACAAAAAAAAAGCTTCGATTTGGTACCATATCTATGTAAATGACAGAATATCAAATCGCCACTATTGTCGCCTCCACCCTGTTTTTTAACTGAAACAGATTAAATTATATAAGATATATCCAACTAATAAAAACAGCAACAGCTTATGGGTGTTTTTGTGCAATTCGTACATGTTCGGACTGTAACAGCTGAAGCTTCCGTCGCGGCTCGGCCTCAAATTTCTTGACTAGTCCTCATTCCTAGATAGGAAAGATAAAAATAAATAAGCGGCCTTGCTGCCCTTAAAAATCTCAGTACCCCGAATAATTATGCAGTTTATTGTTATTACCACGATTATACATTATCGTACTAGCATATTATAGATATTTTAATGTCTGCTTCAAGCAACTGAGGCTATGGTGTAATATTTAATGTTTCTTTAAGCACAGTAATCGTAGAATAACGTTTTCCTTCGTTTGCCGTAAAACGAAGACATCTTCACTCAATACATAATAATCAGGCAGAAAAGGAAACGTTTCATTATAGCGCGAACTGACAGTTTTTTTTTTATTATTCAAGATTTAATGGCGTAATTATCACGCCAATCAATGTATTAAAAAAACTAAATGATGCAATAGAAAATAAGAATAAAAATTTTGGAAAGGAACAGGTTGTACGACTATCTCTCATTTCATAAAATGTATATATAATAAACAAATAAATAAATATATATATATATATATATATATATGTATATATATTTAGAGAGAGAGGCGGAAGAAACTGAGTTTACAAATATACATATGATAAACATTTTCCAAATGATAGTCTTACTTAGAGAAGATTTCAAGGTCGTTCTACTGGCCCTGAAAAGAACTGTTTTTACTAGAAAAGCCGAGAGAAGATCTTAATGTTAAACACAATTGTTATTTAGACATAACAGTTTAAGGAAGCAACATAGACTGATTAAAGAATCCTTTGTTCTCTGCTGGGATTTTTGTGACGAGATATTAATTGTATTGAAAAGCATTCTTCGCTGTCAAGTGTCTGTATACTTAGCGAACGTTATATTAGCAGATCCTTAGCGCATTCCTTTCTAAGGACTAGTACCGGCAGGTGTTGTTCATGCAACACGCTTGCGCACACAGCTGCGATCGAAATGGCCTAACTGTTTAAGCAGTAAATGAGATGCTGTTTCGTCATGTGCGCGTGCCCCGTTCTAGCGAGTGTGTGAATGGCCTATGTAGATTCGACAGTGCCTCAACATATCAAATAGAGTTAGCTGCACGACGTGAACCTCTCATAAGGTGACAACGATGTTCCTAGTTTATACCAAAATGCGTTGCATCTGCCTTCCAATGCTTCCGGCTTCAAATCCTTATTTAAATGTACTATATTCAATGCAAACTCGATACGTAAGCCTACTTTTATAATTCTGTATTCTCTTGTTTTGTTGCTTTGGACTTCCTTAACTTCCTTAGACCGTCATCTGTTACCAGCTAGTAACGGCTGCCTTTGGACGTCCATATGCAGTATGAAAGAATAGCTTTAACAGATCGTACTCGTGTCTTGGCTAGCATACATAAGCTTGTTTCCTGTTTATTTTTTACTATACCCGCACTTTTTTCATTCTGTTACGTGAGAGAAGTGGAATAGCAAGAAAACCCGCCCGAATTAGACGAGACCTGGTAAGAGGATGGACTGCTTGATAGGCACAATGTACGGCGGCGGCGTCGAGAGAGCTGGGAGTCAGTAACGCTAAAATACTGCTGACGTGCGGCACTGCAAAGGGGGAACATCGCAAAATGGGCCGCCATCTTGCCTCTCGTAGAGCCTCTGATCATTTGTAGGTTTTACGTGGGAAGGGGGCGAATTACAGGCAGTGCCACATGGAAATGAGGCTTGTCTTGTCTTCCTGTAGTCTAGCGTCCCTTGCTGGGCTCCACCAGACCATATTCTGTGACTTAAGCTGCACCGTCGGCAGAAGTGAATTCAAAGTGTCCATACACTGGCATCAATAGCAGTATGGCGCATGCATAGACAACCGTACGAACGCTTGCATACGGCCACACTCAAAGTCATAAACACAGACGTGACTTTGAACAGAGTAGCGCGTGACTCGTTTGAGACAGGAATGTATGTTTAGCCCCCTTTTACCCAGCTACCTTGTAAAGTACCTTAAAGCAAGGAGAGTGGAAAAAAGTTTCTTCAGTAATTTCGAAGTAGCATGATGCCAGGATAGGACACTAAGCTCGGCATGCCCTTCGCCCGTATTGGGAATCTCTTACGCCGCTCTCTACAGATACAGAAAAAACATAAGTATGATACGCACAAAGGAGGCGTTGTTTCGGTTCGATGATTTTGGTTAAACCTATACGAATAATAATAGATGTGGATGACTAGAGACGAAGAGATTGTTTAGATGAACAAATCGACAACTCACAGTTGTTGACCGAGGTAAAAACAAAAAGATGGACCAACAGTGATTGTTGCGGTTCTTTTCCATGAGTTCTAAATAAAATCTCAATGATATTTCAAATACGAGCAAAAACCTCGAATAATCTTGTCGAAAGCGACGATGAACCGATACATTTTTCGTTTACATTGCACAGTCTGCAAGAGCTACTTAACTCTATGTAACATTTTAATTTAGTTTTATAGTTTCGTTTCGAAAAATAAATGTTTCGAGATTTACGTCGTATTTTCGTTTTTTTTTTTCCCACATGATGAAGATCGTGTGCTATAAGCCTGAAACAATGACGTTACAATTTAAGCAAATGAAGTTCATAAGCAATTATTAACACCATTATAGCCACTCGATTATACCTTTCGTATAATAAGGCTGTTACATTGAGAAAAAAAATGAAAATTCCTTCTTTCAAAGAAAGTTTTTTAGCATTCGCCAGGCAGTTGTACCTTTGTCATGTTTAGTGTGCCTGATACGCTTGAAAGAGATGGACCGAGTATGATACGCTAATTTGATTCTAGTGCGTTCTTTGCATTACAGTTAGCTGAATATATGTTTACCGCAAAATCGGTAGAGTTCAATTAGTTTTTGTGTTGTTCCTATTTTTGTCTCTAGTTGGACAGGTTCCTTGATGGAAGAGTTTTTCAAACAGGGAGACAAGGAGCGCGAACTCGGCCTACCCTATTCACCCCTCTGCGATCGGAATACAACTATGGTTGCCGAGAGCCAAATAGGCTTCATCGATTTCATTCTTGGGCCCACAATGGACGTTTGCAGCGAGCTAATTATGAAAATCTACCAACAGGTCAGTAGCAAAGCTAGACTGACAAGTCACACACATGAATGGTACTTTGTAGCTAGAATCATAGTATCTAACTTTTGTACCTAAAGATATCAAAGCAGCCTGCACGTCATGTTAGGGACTGGTATTTGATATACATGCTGACTGGTAAACTCGTTTTTATCATGTTCGATCCTTCAGGTACTTCATCAGCAACAGCAGCAGCGAGCCTCAACAGCGAGTACCGGTGGAGGCACCCAATCAGAAGAAGGTTCCCGGTCGTCGTCAGTGTCGTCCGTTGGGTCACAAGATGTTCCCAAGGAACCAGCTCGACCTTGGATTAAGTTTCTTGAAATGAACCGTCTCCGTTGGCAGGAGCGGGCTGCACAAGGCAGGTGTTTTACTTAGGTTGATTATCTTACTTATAATGAACAGACAAACATTAATCGTGTAGAGAAAACGATGCACAAATATAGTGACAACTGCTCTTCGTCTAAAGCCTAATAGCGCTTTGCCCTAAAATCTAATTTACGATTCAATATCAGCATAAGAATTAACAGCTTTAATTAAAACTAAACGAGCCTCGAGTACCTCAAGTAGCAGTCGGCTGTATTCACTATAATCTTTTCTACGCTAACAATAGAGCAGCTTTTGATTTGCACGAGGCCTTCCTTCAGAGACGTTCTCAGCACGCACACTCCTGCCGAAGCGTTTCTTTGTTTTGTATTTTTATTCGTTAAATGGTTATTTTTACTTTTTGTCAAGTATTGTCTGCATATGCACGTACAGGAAGACATAGCTTCAGCTCTCTATGAATTGATATGGCCCTTATTTTTTCTGTTTGATCCATTTCGTTGATCAGCAGATGCCGAAGAGAAAGAGAAGTTCGTCGAGGAAGACAGCGGATCAGTTACGAACAATGGAAACGCCGGAGAATCTTCGGAAAACCTATAGAAGTCCTCCCGTGCCTCCCCATAGAAGTGATCAGGGCCAACCTATCACTTACTCTTACTACGACAGCTGCATTTATTACTTGGAAATAGCGCCGCTACCATTTCTACTCGTCGATAGCTAGGAAAACATTCCTTTTCACCAACGACGCTACCCAGACCGCCTACAATAACCACAGAGCTTAGCTACACTTAAGCTTGTGAGGCAGTATCGAGAATTAGATCTACGCGATGTCAACGGTTTCTTACTATTACGGGAAACGGACAAGAACAGAGTCGCCGTAAAGGCTAAATCGAATATCCTAAACAAAAAGGACAAAGTTAGTCTTTTTGATCATAGCATCTACTACATATTAACATAGAATGTTTCGCTCCGAAATAAGGGGGATAGTAGGACAGATGGTTTGTTGCCTTTAAACATGTCTGTATGGTTGTCGTTATTGGACGTCGTGTTCGAAGCACGAGTAGACATCACTGCTCTTCAACAAGTGATGCTCCAAGTCGTTTTGAGGTAATCTTTTTGCTTGCGAGTGAGACTTATCAATGAAAAGACACCATATTGTGAACACAATGACGAGCGATACTGCGTTGCTGCCTGAGTGATGGAGCAACGATGAAGGAACAAATAGGGAAGTACGGAAGTGAGCGAAGGGGAACACAATAAAGAGAAAACAGTGTCGCCTCGGTCGTAGCAGAAGTTACTGTAATGACAACAAGATTACTACTATTATTAGAAATTAAAATTAGTATCAAAATGTTGACAGTGATTATGATGATACCTAAAACAGCCATTAAAACATATACAAGAAATGCAGAACCGGAAAACATAAATGATCTGATGCTTCCTACGTCACAGTTTCTGGCATATGGTTCGACTGCCATTGCAGTCATTACTAATTCAACTATTATTTCTAGTAAATTACTCTTACTAGAACAATTATTAGGAGATCATTATGTATTTAATAGAATTAGTAGGATTTATTATAGTACCTCCTGCCGTTACTAACGCTTACTAAGAAGTTCATTAATCAGTGGTGGCAGATTCACTGAAAGTAGGTTAGGTGGAAGGTTAACCTAATAGCCGATCTGAAGGATTTATTATAACAACAAGCATACATACATATATATACACACACTTTCATTTATACCATATATATATGGTATAAATAGAGCTCTCTAGATATATTTGAAGAGCAAGAGAAAGAAAGGAATAGGGTGGTCAATAGTGCAAATAGAAGAAGGGCATACAGATAAATACAAATTGATTCATACCAAATTAGGCGGAAGATAAAAGAAGGGTGCGAAATGCTGAGAGCTACATGCGCATAAAACAACATGTCGACTATGAATTGATTAGGTTAGGACGGGCTGAAGTGCTACGATCTTTTGTTAACATGCAGAACCACATAACGCATTCGAATTTATTGATTTCGACCTTCTTTCCGGCTACGTATCCGTAACTTTCACCGTAGCAATCACCATTATCCGTTGTGTGTGTGTTTTTTTTTGTTTCACTGTGATACGAAACATGTGTGTAAAATATGACTACATCAATAAATGATTCAACGCCTCTTACGTGACGGACTAATTGATTGACTGATTTGTTTGTTTGGATTGACAGTGAAACACGGATTTTTCTTTGTACTATGTGCAATCGCCGTATTCGTTTGACTTACTGACAATTCCGTCCTTTGTCGATTCTGTTTATAGAAAATTGCTCGCTTCCGCGGTGGCAATCGAGAGCTATACCGTCTCATACGGTTGCTACAAGGTTCGCTATTTGGTCGAGGAACTCACAAGGTATTAGCCTGTAACTATGGCCATCTAAAATACTTACTTCGAAGCTTAAACGATCAAAGTGATAACTGGCACACGTAATGCGGCTTTCGCAATCAATTCGTTATTTGAGATATTTTTTTCTACGTTTTATCTATTCTAACGGAAGGCTGCGCAATGCAGGGCGATTAAATTCAGTCAATTCGAAATACAAATTTCACAAAATACGAAATTTATCTCTTTCGAAGTTTCTCGATTCGCTCGCCAACGCTGCATAATAATACGTTTAACCGGTTACCACCGAAACACTCAGTTTTGTCTCGAGTTATACAACACTCTCCCAGTCACCTTAAGTACTTGACTATTTGCTTTGATATGTTTTAATTTTCCGTTGATCGAATCTGTGATCAATTACAAGGGTCCAGTCAAGCTTACGTAGACATGATAAAAACTGTACAATAGAAATACGTTAGACACAACGGTACGTTTTGCAAATAGCTAGCTAACAGAACCGAGCCGTTACCATCCCGGTTGTTACATCCACTTCGACACAACACGTACAATGAAGACACGACAAGATACGAAACAGAAGCAGGCCACAAACAGACAAAGGTTTAACACGCGCGACAGGTGTTGAATAGGCCGGTAAGATACATAGTGACTGTATGATAGGAGCGCATCTTCCCAGTCCGTTTAATCTGCTTGTTATTACTAGATCGTGTCGGTTGCCGGTTGCAAGTTCCACCAGTAAAGGACCACAGCGCTAATCACGCGGCGGCCACCACTGAAATGAGACTGTTAGAACATGTACTTCTTGTAGTAAATTAGAGAGCACTATGCAGTTGTGCAAATAGCAGGCACAAGTTGGACACCGTTAATTATGCCCTCTATAGGCATGTCCTTATAACGACATACATAGAAGCGCAGACAAATACGGAGTGATTCAGAGAGGTGTGCTGTTCAATGACGGAACGAAGTTTTCAGAGTAGGAAATGACCCATGGCGAACTTCTCGCAATTGTGTCACGTTTCCTTCCCCATTGCACCCAATCAACAGCGAGCCAGCCGACGAACGAAACGGGCTTCGGCTGAACAAAGGATCTATTGATTCTTAGAGGTTACAGCGTATTGTTAGGTGACCCCTATACGCGCTTGGCAATCCTAGTAACGTGTCAAGGGTGGGCCTAGCATAGCGGCCAGGACGATCTCGGTAAGGATAACGACGGTTATCCTTTCAGTAAGATTCAATATCGTGTAACATGTCCGCCCATCGAATATTATATTTTACACAGCTTCGTTTGTGTGAATAATAATCCACGACAACAACAACAACAACAAAAGAAGAAGTAGCAGCAGATGGTTTAGTATAATTTAATGTAAATTTAAGTATATTAGTTAATAGATAGGTCAGATCGCAAATGCTGGATTGTGTCGTTGCTTTTCTTTGACATGTAAAAAAAATTACGTTTATTGATGGCAGTGAGAGTAGCTTTAGAATAGAACGGCAAAACATCACATGATTACATGACGAGGATAATTATAATAATAATAGTAGTAATAATGAGAAGCGAGGAAAAGATGATTGCAGATTTGGTCAGTGTTCGTCAACTGCCCTGACGTTTCGAAATCCGCGACAGAGCAGTAGCATGATGCCCTAAGTATCATATCGAATTGAAGTTGCTTTGCCGTCCGTTCCACGTACGTGGGCAGCTGCAAGTCGTAAGCGGGCCGCATACGCTTCAGACCTTTTAACTCTCGGCGAAGGTTCTGAGAAAACATCTCGTTATTTTCAGTACATGATTTCCTACGCGGTTCTCACAATTAACTTAGGCCTATACTTATTTTTACTTTTTCTTGCCGTCTCATACAGGTTTCATGGTTCATGTTGAGACTCATTTGGTTTAGACCTGAATTTCTACCGTGCGTTAGCTATCTGAGCAACACAAACGCACCTTTGCCACCAGCGACAGCCATATTCAGGATAGGCGATTGTCTTCTAGCTAAAATGATGCTGTGTGAGGTACATTTCTTCACGTGAAGATGGCTATTTATATCTACGTACTAGTCCAAGTGTATGACATGCCTTCAAACGAGAAGATTCACTCGTTCGAATTTGAAAGTGGAGATTAAATTTAAAAAAAAAAAGACCTGCGATTTATGGATTGGTTGATTAGTCCCAGATGAACAGAAGTGAAAGCGTAGCACAATTAATACATCCTGCCGATGACTGCTATACTACGTAGTATAACGTTTTTCCCGATCGGCGCATCACACAACGCTCGAGCCTTCAATGACGCTCGCTGTTCCCTTGTCGTGCATGTTTTACCTAGTTAAGCAACTTTTCTATCCGAAAAGTTCGGAGAGGCGCTTCAATGACAGTTTGAATCGGATTTCCGGTCGCTACTAGCGCTTTAGACAATGTCACGCCTCGGACGGTGGCGCATGGTTGTCACCCATTGCACGATTATCGAAAGCATTATAATAGAAACTTCGCCACGACGCAAAGCCATCTGTAAGGGTTACGCTGCAGTGTTCAAATCTTTCTTCAGACATTTTTTACTCGGTCTTGACGAAATTTGACAGCGGTCCACGGCAATAAGTATCGTATAAGTTGCACCCAGTGCAGACGCCTGACATCTAGCCTGAAGATACATTCAAACTTCAGCAGCAATTACTAACAGCGGCATGACAAATTTGAAATTTTACTACTTTCTGCGCGCCCGCCCGCCCGTCCGTCCGTCCGTCCGTCCGTATTCAAGACGCGACTGTTGTTTTTGATAAATCTGTGTAGGTCACTCGAAACTATTACAGATGAAGTAAGCAATATTTAGAGGAAGCCATTAAACTGGGCACACGTAAGTGTCTACAATTTTATTGGAAATTAAGTGTCACTTACTGATGCTGCTACACATCCGGTAGCGTGATCATGTCTTCACGTACCGCTATTCTACCACTGCTCGACTTCTGCATGGCCAATATTACACTACGACTAGTTGTAGGATTATCGTTCTACAGCTGTTATCACAATAAATCTATATCTACTATCAATCACAGTTTGGTTTGTTTTGTTTGTCGCGAACGAGTCAATCCGCAGCCCCACGCTCCGCTTGGCTGCCGCGTCGCATAGTACTATTTCATCAATCAAACGATCGACTAAATATTGATTGATTAATTCATAATACTAATGACAATGTAACAATGCATGGTGACGAAACGATACGACATAACTGATAGTGTCTAAATAAATATGAATTTATAATGATTTCAAATGATGACGACGATGATCATTATAATTATAACAATATCCACAAATTACTAATACGTCTATGAAGAAATAAAATGATAAATATTATAAACAAGCCTATATAAAATATATAAACGTTGTGTGTAACACCACCGGCAGAAACATGCGGAAAGACAAGAACGTGGAAATGGCTATAAAGGTCATGTCCAAGCAAAACATTTTCCATATATACGCGCGAACGCTGTGAGTGAATGACGCCAATATGAATGAGTCTTCGTAAACGTTTCGTTGGCTTTTTGAAAAGCAAACTTCCGTTCGGTGGCGAAGAACCTGTAAAGAAAAGAAGCAGACAGCAGAAGGTCCCGATGAATACAATTATATGATACTATTACATAACAAAGATGGGCAATTATTACATTGATCTCGATAATGATAGTAATTGCTATAATGATAGTTACGATATAAACAATATTATTATACTACTAACAATAATAATTGTGAAATGATAATTAACGAAACCGCTTGTACTCTAGCTACCTTGATCATCGCAACCCCGCTGGGGAGACGGGGAACTCCACAGAGCGAGACCACCCCGGCCCAAGTGTCCTTCGAGCGCTTCATTAGCTCTCATTGCTCCACTCATTCATTCATTCATTCATTCATTGCCAGTCATTTAATCGACCATCATTCGTTTGTTAATTGAATCATCACTTATGGGCTGATAAATCAGAAACTAGTAGATTGACACGATGCTAAAGATCAGAGAGATTGTCTGTCTTGTAGCTGACGAAAGATGTTATATGCTACACTGATCAAAGTAAGCTTTAACACAACTGATATGTGTCAGTTATTTTCTTTAATCAATTGGCAATGTCAAAAGAATATCCTTTAGTAAAGCCTGATAGTAGAAAATCAGACTAGCCGCTACAGATCCCATCAGTTGTATTTGTATGCTGCCTGCTGCGCACCCAATAGACGGAGGAACAAACGTTCGGTCTAATATATCGAAAAATGACAGAATTTCGTAATGCAAATTGAAAAACCATTACCCGAACCACAATAGGCGGAATGTACGCAATGTGTCGATCCTTAAGCGTCCGGGAGTTCGTTTATTACCCACTTGCCGTTATTATCACAATTAGGATATGTGAGCGGACACACTCTTAGTTGTTTGTCATCGATCAGAACCTCGTTAACTGATTCGACCTTTCGATGTAATTGTTGATTGGGCGCAGCACAACTACTACAACACCGCTGTCCATAAAGCCACGACCCACGTCATCCATGAGACCACCGAATACGATTTATCCGTTCAACGTAAAATACGATAACAAATAGAGCAACCATAGCGCAGCGATTTAATATAACAGCAACGGTAATAATACTATCGTTATTTACCGCCAGCATTCAACGACATCACCACCGCCTTGATATGATTTTCAGATCAGAGAAATACATGGAAGACAGGAACTCGATCGATTCATTTATGTTTTTGTCCACTTGGACAACGACGAGCAAAAACTAACTCATCACTTTTCGATGTCTCCCTTTACTGTAACCAGAAGAAGGAGTTATGTCTGTCCTATTTGCCAAGGAAAACGCATACAGGCAACATAAAACTACTGCCGTTACTCGGCACGATACAATTACCCTTAGTATATTGCTCGCTCGTTATCTGACTTCAACGTCTGTGTAATACGAAGGCTAACTTCCAAACAAATTCGAACACGCCGACATAATAACTGCAAGTAAAAAAAACTAGTTACCCTGAAGTGGCAATAATATTAATAACAGACTGTACGCACGAATAATACGAATGAAGCATAGGCCTAACGAAACTAGTGATCTACCAAACTTAACTAAGACTATGTATAGCTATAATTATACACAGTCCAAGCAGTTATTTATGGTAACTTTATGTTTGTGAGGGGGTATAAACAATCAGCACAAAAAAGAAAAGCGCTAAAACGGAGTACGTTTTGTAACAAGCACAATAAAATCATGGCAACACAATAAAAATAACAACTACTACTACTACTACTATTTGATGATTATTGATATAATAATAATGAAATAACTTATTATTATTAGGATCAGCAACAGATCAAATAAGTATCTGCAATACGTTTTGCGATATGAATAATAATGAAGGCCGTAAATACTAATAATTATAGCAGAGATGGTAATGATAAAAGGAAGGACGCGACAAGAACCGGCTGATATTGATAAAGGTAGAAGTAATTCTGCAGACACAACGGAAGTACGCTGTTCTGTATGTAACTATCGATTGTAGCTGAGGGTTAATGCTAATTATAATAATTAGAGGTAGTGGCAAGTGCCATTGATATGAGAATGAGGCCGATGGACATGAGGACAAACATGGCGACTAGGAAAATAAAATTAAGGGGAAAAGAAATGATCGAACAGTGGACGACGGAAAGCGCGAAAACAAGAACAGCATCAACTGAGATGTTCGTCAACATTGCGTTACTGGGTCCGATTGATGGCATCGTTTGATACGGTTCTTCGTGCGTTCATCAATGCGGACAACAAAAGTAACAACAGACCCACAATAACCTTTCTCGGTGGAATAAACGATGTTATAATACGCAGTGTTCAAAGAAATGTCTTTCTTGCTTTCATATTTACGCATAGAGATTGCACATCGGATTACATGGACTATCAGTATCGGTATCGATTCAGCTATCGATTGCCATAAATTTACTTTTTCATTTATTTTCATGTTAAAAAAGAGGCATCCAAATAAGCATGCGTTGACAGATGCGTTTCGTTTGAACGAGTTTGTTCAAAATAGCTGTAAATCGGTTCGATTCTAGGTTCAACCTGCTTACAGACACGTGCCATAGCATTCATATCCATATGTTAGAATGCTCTTTTGGTGACTTCTTCTTTTTTTCGCTTAATTATAATCTGCACGTAACGATTTAACGGATTTACATCTGAGCTGAAAGGTCGCCGTAAACCGTTGCTTTTATACATGATCAGTTAGCTTGTTCTATATTTGATAGTTCGGAAATGCGGGTACGCCATCCTGCTAAAAGACCCTGGAATATAAGCTGGAACTAAGCATCCATAGATTTATTACCGTGCTGCTTGCATGTTGTGGCAGTGTTACAGATTTTCACTTCTCTAAAGAATATCCGATCACTTCACCATCTCCCCATAAAGATCTGGCTATTCAGAGTTCTTGGTCATTTCACAAATCCAATGAGGAGCACAGTGGAGTCTAGCATTCTGTGGCAAGACAGCGTCGTTGCAAGAAATCGTTGAGGGCTCCGCCATTGCGACGCTAGAACGTGCCGCAACCCCAGCGAAGCGTAGTGGTTGGGTATAAGCCACAGCTCAGCGGAGTTATTAGCGAGGCAGGGCTGACATACAAGTAAATACCCTAATAAATGAAGGCGAGTCAAGATGTCGATTTAATATAATGCATTTACAATCGCAGCTAGTGTAATGTCTAACTTTTTTCACTGTACTGTCAATAAATAAAGCATTCCGCAATAAAGACTTACATACGCACATATATGGGTTTTAATAATTCGACATCTATCAATTATAAACATTCATTACTATTGGTAAGTACCAATATATGCAAATGAACCAGCGAAGTACTCGCAGTGTAAGGTCGCACCGCCACGACCGTACATCAGATTACACTTAGATTACATGTCGAAGACACTCACTCCCTTCACAGTAGTCCGACTGCACTTGTTGAAGTTGGCCTATTACGGATTAAGGTCATTGCTGGAACAACATCGAGCTCCATCCTTGTGGCGCTAGCTCCCAAAACAAGGTTCGTTTGATGTGTGCACAGTTTTTTTTCTTCTCTCTCGACGCTCAGATCTACTAAGAGGGCATTAACATAACGACAGACAATATGTTCATATTTGTATTAAAATATCACTACTGCTGTTTTAAAG